TAAGGCCTACTTATACTGGGAAATAATTTCCCTCTTTCCTACATACTCTAACTTGAGCCTCACTATCCTCGTAAAAACTCTTCACTGCTTTCAGTAACCTACCTCCTACACCATACACCTGCAACATCTGCCACACTGCCCCCCTATCCACCCTGTCATACGTCTTTTCCAAATCCATAAATGCCACAAAGACCTCTTTAGCCTTATCTAAATACTGTTCACTTATATGTTTCACTGTAAACACCTGGTCCACACACCCCCTACCTTTCTAAAGCCTCCTTGTTCATCTGCTATCCTATTCTCCGTCTTACTCTTAATTCTTTCAATAATAACTCTGCCATACACTTTACCAGGTATACTCAACAGACTTATCCCCCTATAATTTTTGCACTCTCTTTTGTCCCCTTTGCCTTTATACAAAGGAACTATGCATGCTCTCTGCCAATCCCTAGGTACCTTACCCTCTTCCATACATTTATTAAATAATTGCACCAACCACTCCAAAACTATATCCCCACCTGCTTTTAACATTTCTATCTTTATCCATCAATCCCGGCTGCCTTACCCCTTTCATTTTACCTACTGCCTCATGAACTTCCCCCACACTCACAACTGGCTCTTCCTCACTCCTACAAGATGTTATTCCTCCTTGCCCTATACACGAAATCACAGCTTCCCTATCTTCATCAACATTTAACAATTCCTCAAAATATTCCCTCCATCTTCCCAATACCTCTAACTCTCCATTTAATAACTCTCCTCTCCTATTTTTAACTGACAAATCCATTTGTTCTCTAGGCTTCCTTAACTTGTTAATCTCACTCCAAAACTTTTTCTTATTTTCAACAAAATTTGTTGATAACATCTCACCCACTCTCTCATTTGCTCTCTTTTTACATTGCTTCACCACTCTCTTAACCTCTTTCTTTTTCTCCATATACTCTTCCCTCCTTACATCACTTCTACTTTGTAAAACTTCTCATATGCTAACTTTTTCTCCCTTACTACTCTCTTTACATCATCATTCCACCAATCGCTCCTCTTCCCTCCCACACCCACTTTCCTGTAACCACAAACTTCTGCTGAACACTCTAACACTACATTTTTAAACCTACCCCATACCTCTTCGACCCCATTGCCTATGCTCTCATTAGCCCATCTATCCTCCAATAGCTGTTTATATCTTACCCTAACTGCCTCCTCTTTTAGTTTATAAACCTTCACCTCTCTCTTCCCTGATGCTTCTATTCTCCTTGTATCCCATCTACCTTTTACTCTCAGTGTAGCTACAACTAGAAAGTGATCTGATATATCTGTGGTCCCTCTGTAAACATGTACATCCTGCAGTCTACTCAACAGTCTTTTATCTACCAATACATAATCCAACAAACTACTGTCATTTTGCCCTACATCATATCTTGTATACTTATTTATCCTCTTTTTTCTTAAAATATGTATTACCTATAACTAAACCCCTTTCTATACAAAGTTCAATCAAAGGGCTCCCATTTTCATTTACACCTGGCACCCCAAACTTACCTACCACACCCTCTCTAAAAGTTTCTCCTACTTTAGCATTCAGGTCCCCTACCACAATTACTCTCTCACTTGGTTCAAAGGCTCCTATACATTCACTTAACATCTCCCAAAATCTCTCTCTCTCCTCTACATTCCTCTCTTCTCCAGGTGCATACACGCTTATTATGACCCACTTTTCGCATCCAACCTTTACTTTAATCCACATAATTCTTGAATTTACACATTCATATTCTCTTTTCTCCTTCCATAACTGATCCTTCAACATTACTGCTACCCCTTCCTTTGCTCTAACTCTCTCAGATACTCCAGATTTAATCCCATTTATTTCCCCCCACTGAAACTCCCCTACCCCCTTCAGCTTTGTTTCGCTTAGGGCCAGGACATCCAACTTCTATTCATTCATAACATCAGCAATCATCTGTTTCTTGTCATCCGCACTACATCCATGCACATTCAAGCATCCCAGTTTTATAAAGTTTTTCTTCTTCTCTTTTTTAGTAAATGTCTACAGGAGAAGGGGTTACTAGCCCATTGCTCCCGGCATTTTAGTCGCCTCATACGACACGCATGGCTTACGGAGGAAAGATTCTTTTCCACTTCCCCATGGACAATAGAAGAAATAAAGAAGAACAAGAGCTATTTAGAAAAAGGAGAAAAACCTAGATGTATGTATATATATATGCATGTGCATGTCTGTGAAGTGTGACCAAAGTGTAAGTAGGAGTAGCAAGATATCCCTGTTATCTAGCGTGTTTATGAGACAGAAAAAGAAACCAGCAATCCTACCATCATGCAAAACAGTTACAGGTTTCTGTTTCACAGTCATCTGGCAGGACGGTAGTACTTCCCTGGGTGGTTGCCGTCTACCAACCTACTACTATCATATGCCTTTTCTAAATCCATAAATGCAATAAAAACTTCCCTACCTTTATCTAAATACTGTTCACATATATGCTTCAATGTAAACACTTGGTCTACACATCCCATACCCACTCTGAAATCTCCTTGCTCATCCACAATCCTACATTCTGTCTTACCTCTAATTCTTTCAATTATAACCTTACCGTACACAACAAATATGTTGTTCAATTATGTATTAACAAATGTAAATAAACATTTAAAATAACATTTTTACTTACCGTTACTGAAGATTGGTGATGGCATCTGGAAGATAGGAAGGAGGATAGAGGGAGTTGGGGTTAGTGCTTGGAAGGAGAATCCCCCTCCATGAGGACTTTTGGTATAAAAGCCCTCTCTGGGGTTACTTCCCTTCTCTGTCTTTTAATGCCACTAGGACCAGTTTGAGTGTCACTGGACCCCTGTCTCACAAAATAACTGTCCGCAGTCCTCTGTTTCTGGCGCCTCTAAGATTTCCCTAAAATGAGACATTGTTTTGTCACTGAACTTGTTGCAAAGATGGCTTGTTTCAGCTTGCTCAGGGAGGTTCTTTTGCACAAACATTTGGACATCATTCCACTTGGTACAAATCTCCTTAATCTTTGAAGAAGGCACCTCATCCACTCCAGAACTCTCTTAGGGTCAACTTGGTGTCTGTGGTCACTTCAAAGCACTTTTCAAACACTGCTTTTGTGTAGAGTTTTTTGAAGTTAGAAATGACCTGCTGGTCCATGGGTTGGAGGAGAGGAGTGGTGTTAGGAGGCAAGAACTTCAGTTATAAAACTGAAGTCCCTAGACAAGAGGTCAACTAAGTTTGGAGGATGAGCCGGAGCATTGTCCACTAACAGGAGGCACTTGAGTGGCAAATTATTGTCTAAGAGGTATTTTCTCACACTGGGGCCAAACACTTCATGGACCCACTCTTTGAAAATTTGCCTTGTGACCCATGCCTTATTATTTGCTTTCCACAAGACACATAACTTGTTCTTTATGACATTTTTTTTCTTAAACACTCTGGGATTTTCTGAATGATACACAAGTAAAGGCCTCACTTTAAAATCACCACTAGCGTTAGCACAGAACAGAAGAGTTAGCCTGTCTTTCATACGCTTGTGTCCTGGGAGTGCCTTTTCCTCCTGAGTAATGTAGGTCCTCTTTGGCATTTTCTTCCAAAACAGGCCTGTTTTGTCACAATTGAACACTTGTTGGGGTTTTAATTTTTCAGTGTCTACGTAAACCTTAAACTCATGTACAAACTTCTCAGCTGCCCGTTTGTCTGAACTGGCTGCCTCACCATGCCTTACAACATTGTGTATGCCACTATGCTTCTTAAATCTGTCAAACCAGCCTCTGCTGGCCTTAAATTCACCATCAGCACTAGTTCCAGGAGTTTTCTGTACCAGATCGGCATGCAACTTCCTTGCCTTTTCGCAAATAATGGTCTCTGAAACACTATCGCCTGCCATCTCTTTATCCTTGATCCACACCAGCAACAACTTTTCAACCTGATCGATTGTCTGTGGTCTTTTTTTGGTTAGCATATTAGAACCTTTTGCAACATCAGCTTCCTTGATTTGCTCTTTCTCTGCCAGGATAGAACCAATGGTCAACTTGCTTTTCCCATACATCCTGGCAAGCTCTTCTCATACATCCTGGCAAGCTCAACAAGTCTCACACCACTCCCATACTTCAGTATTATTTCCTTCTTCACATCTATGGTGTTTCTCACTTTCTTTACCACAGGGGTACCACTAGCAAGTTTCTTTGGGCCCATGGTAGCTTATTTCACAGTCCCACAAGCACTAAACACAATGAAATAATCGTAAAATGTTTGAATGAGAGCGCAGGTTAGTGTTCACTCAAGCATCAACAAAACCAGACTGGCTCACGGCGCCTGCGCGGGAACGCGGACAGAGCGGGCTGCTGGACAGGCCCGGTACCTGGCGATTCAAAAATAGGGGCGAGTTCGATAATAGGGACAAAGTTGGTTCGAAAAAAGCATTCGATTTTCAAAGAGTTTGATATGTGATATGTTCGAAATCTGAGGATCCACTGTACTGTATATGATAAATAAAAAGGAAGTTTTTATTAAATTAATTTTTGGGGGGGCCAGCATATTTTAATAGAAGACTGCATATAAATTTCACATCATTAAGACTTCAAACTCCTGACCTCCTACAACTATACAGGCAAATTCTGTGCATTCAGCAAGCAAACTATCACTTTGTCACTTCAGATTACTGAGAGAAAATATAGGCCAGAATGGAGTAGGATCTCAACTTTAACACCTAAAATCTTTGACAACCCTCAACAAAAAATAATACCAACAGTTTACATGTATAGTTTCCTCAACAATTCTTAAATAATTTAAGTAAATTACAACCTGGTTGAAATATCTACATGATATAAAATTCCTAATACTACTGCTAAATTAAAATACAACTTAAATACTGTAAAAAAAAAAAAAAGCATTCTACAGTTTATGTAGTTACTAGAAAACGTATAGTACATTTCATTTAAAATCACAAAGCAAGCACATATGCAGATGCTTATCAAACATTTCCAGGCATACTATACTTATAAAGCTAATATAAACCACCATCTTTCACTAGGTTATCTATGCTCTTCCTAAATCAAAGAACTAATATTAGCGCATATCCTGTTATCATGGACAATACTGCACAGCCTTTCACCACTGATAGCAGTCCACAGCCACTGTTACTACTGACTAATAGTGCACAGCCTGTCACCACTAACAGTGTACAGTCTCTGCCACTACTAACAGTGCACAGCCTCTGTAAAGCTTTTCTTGACCCAGGACTGTCTGACTGAACTTCTCATTGTAACATTTTATTGAATGTCAGAATTTCCATGCTAATTCTATGTTGACAATTAAGATTTTATATGTGAGTGAGGAATAAAAAATCTGTAAATTCAGAGGTATCTCAAGCACTTTCTTGTGAATACAACAAAAGGATTTCTATCTCAAAATATGGATTCAACCCCATGACAAACAAAAACAAGGATAGCTAAGTTCTATGCAAGTGAAGAAGTTGAAATTATTATAAGGGCAAAGATTAACTTACCAAACTGAAGATAAAAAAAACACCCGTCAGGAAAAAACTACTGTTAGATGCATTCAAATTTCTGATAAACCTTATTCTTACTACAACAGAAAGTGTTTAAAAGATATGATTGCTTCCAACTCTTGATTCTGGCCAGCTGGGTCCTGGACAGTGAAAACCAAGAGCTGTATGAGGGAAAGTCATGAAAATCATGCATATTTTTAACTCCTCTTTTCACCGGTTTCACCCATATCTGCTTCCTATTTGTTGGCTCAATATCTAGAGGTAACTAATCACCAGCGGCCCAATTAAATTAAAATGGAGCCAAGTGCTTCTAAATCAGAGGTAAACATCACAGTTAATCCTGTCACATCTACAGTATATGCCATCTCAAGTAGATTATAATATAAAACACATCTACTAAAATATTTGAGATAAACAATAATGAAAGACGCCTAACATCCTACAAAAAATCAGAGGTGTAGTTATATTCATACCTCATAGTTCCAAACTTCAATCTGAACATACCTGGTGGCAGGTTTTCACATGCTGTGCCTTGATCTTCTCCATTAACATAGTAATGGAGTGAGCCATCTGAGTGTCTCATCATACCCACTCTTGTGCCTACTACAAGGGAATCCAAGTCACAGCGGTAATTGTTCATAATTGTCACACCATCACGCATGACAGAAGATCCACTGAGCATCCAGGTATCGTAGTCAATGTCAGTCATGGTGCTAGGAAAATCTATTTCCTCTGGTGGAATTGCAGTAACTCCTGCAGACAGATAATTAAAAGCAAATGTTTTCATGTACACTTCATAAATGCTATGATGCAAGACAGATTAATCAACAAAAATGTAAGTGGTACAAAGAGAAATTGTAATGGACAAGGACAATTTAGCATATTTTAAAGGTAGAAAGTTGAAAGTGAACATAGAACAGAGTAAGGTGATGAGGGTATCAAATGATTTAGATAAAGAAAAATTGGATATCAAATTGGGGAGGAGGAGTATGGAAGAAGTGAATGTTTTCAGATACTTGGGAGTTGACATGTCAGCGGATGGATTTATGAAGGATGAGGTTAATCATAGAATTGATGAGGGAAAAAAGGTGAGTGGTGCGTTGAGGCATATGTGGAGACAAAAAAACGTTATCTATGGAGGCAAAGAAGGGAATGTATGAAAGTATAGTAGTACCAGCACTCTTATATGGGTGTGAAGCTTGGGTTGTGAATGCAGCAGCGAGGAGGCGGTTGGAGGCAGTGGAGATGTTCTGTCTAAGGGCAATGTGTGGTGTAAATATTATGCAGAAAATTCGGAGTGTGGAAATTAGGAGAAGGTGTGGGGTTAATAAAAATATTAGTCAGAGGGCTGAAGAGGGGTTGTTGAGGTGGTTTGGTCATTTAGAGAGAATGGATCAAAGTAGAATGACATGGAGAGAGTATAAATCTGTAGGGGAAGGAAGGCAGGGTAGTGGTCGTCCTCGAAAAGGTTGGAAGGAAGGGGTAAGGAAGGTTTTGTTGGCGAGGGGCTTGGACTTCCAGCAGGTGTGCGTGAGCGTGTTCGATAGGAGTGAATGGAGACGAATGGTATTGGGGACCTGACGATCTGTTGGAGTGTGAGCAGGGTAATATTTAGTGAAAAGATTCAGGGAAACCGGTTATTTTTATATAACCGGACTTGAGTCCTGGAAATGGGAAGTACAATGCCTGCACTTTAAAGAAGGGGTTCAGGATATTGGCAGTTTGGAGGGATATGTTGTGTATCTTTATACGTACGTACATGCTTTTAAACTGTTGTGTTCTGAGCACCTCTGCAAAAAGAGTGATTATGTGTGAGTGAGGTGAGTGTTGAATGATGATGAAAGTATTTTCTTTTTTGGGGATTTTCTTTCTGTTTGGGTCACCCTGCCTCAGTGGGAGATGCCAACTTGTTAAAAAAAAAAAAAGTACATATCTGGAAGGCGTTTCATGGGTCAACGCCTCTGCGGCCTGGTCCAAGACCAGGCCTTGCGGTGGAGCAAGGACTGATCAACCAGGATGTTATTGTTGGACGCACACAAACCAGGATACAAACCACAACCCAGCTGGTCAGGTACTGGCTCTAGGTGCCTGTTCAAATCACTCTTGAAGACAGCCAGGGGTCTTTACAAGCTTTCTTTTCTTTATATGTACTGTACATGGTACATCACTGTAGATGGAAACCTGATCAATTATGACCAAGGCTCTGCATCACCATCATTCTATCACTATGCATTCCTATTTCCAAATACCTGTTATTACCATTCCTACTCCCTAATACTTGTTATTACCATTCCTACTCCCTAATACCTGTTATTACCAGTCCTACTCCCTAATACCTGTTATTACCAGTCCTACTCCCTAATATTACCATTCCCACTCTGCAATATCTGCAATGTGCATTCTTATTCTCGGGTATCTGTGATGTGCACTGTTACTACCAATACCTGTGATGTGCATTGTAACTGTCCAATACCTGGGATGTTCATTCCCACTGTTCAACACCAGTGATGTTCATTCTTACTGTCTGGTACCTGGGAGGTTCATTCTTACTGTTCAGTACCTGGGAGGTTCATTCTTACTGTCCAGTACCTGGGATGCTCATTCTTACTGTCCAGTACCTGGGATGCTTATTCTTACTGTCCAGTACCTGGGATGCTCTTTCTTTTTGTCCAGTACTTGGGATACTCTTTCTTACTGTCTAGTACCTGGGATGTTCATTCTTATTGTCCAGTACCTGGGATGTTCAATCCTACTCTACAATAGTTTTTGGTAGGCATTTCACATTTCACTTCAACCTTCATTTTCTCTAAGTATTCATTGGTCATAACCTTAAAAAGCGCACTCATACAAAATTCTTAAGTTGTATACTGTAGCAAGATGCTAAATTCAATTTACCACATTCAAGAAAAGCACTATTATAATAAAAAAAGAAGTGCTAAACCTATTATCTTATAAACTTATTATCTGACACAAGTGGAAACAAATGGCATCTGCTTTCCAGCGGTAGCCTGGAACCTAACCAGCCGTATAAGTGGGGCTGTACTGCGTATGGCAAGCCCTAGCAGGGTACTGGCACTGCGAAAAGCTGTTTGTGCACTACCTGCTGATAGAACACTGCTAATCTGAATTTATCACAGTTATAATTACTGTAATTTGTGAATAACTTACTTCTGAGATAATTGATGAAAACAAGCGCGCACCAAAAAAAAAAAAAAAAATCCAAGAAAATAAGTCACTCTGGCTTTTTTGGGTTATTCTAGGTTCTTTACACATATGCTGCTATGTATGATAATCTATGTAACTGTATTTGTGTACAACTGAATAAACTTACTTACAACAATGATTCTTATACCAGAGTGTTACCAAAGTGTTAAGCTATTTTTCTATATGATTAGCTCAATGTTCATATTTTTTCAAATTTTTTTCCATTCACATACCCCACACCTTAGTAAGTAAACTAAGTAAGTTTATTCAGGTATACACAAATACAGTTACACAGATTATCATACATAGCAGTATATGTGTAGAAAACCTTGGATAACCCAAAAAAGTCAGACAGCGACTTATTTCCACTGGGGTCCTTTACCGCCCCTTAGACGCCCCTTAAGCACAGAAAAAATAATCAAAGTTTGAAAAATCCTTAATTATACAAAATAATGCACAGTTTAATATAGAAAAAACTTAAATAACAGAGAAAAAACATACCGCAAACAACCAAGAAAACAAATTGAATTAAAAAACACTCGAAATACAAGACAAGGAGTTTATGGCGAATGAACGAATGTCTGACCAAGACCGACTACAAGGTGAGGGTCTTTGCTAGGTGTACACAAACAGGAGGAAATGGGGTAAATTGGCTCGTGCAAAAGAAAAAAAAAAGGGGCCTGGAATATGAAAATTGCCGCGACTGTGTTTGTTCGGCACCTGATTGTGTTCGTGACCCAATTTGTTCATGTTCAGAAGTGTTCGTGAACAGAGGTTCCACTACCGAACAATATAAGTGAATTTTTGGAAACACATTAATGTCATAAGTGAAGGCCCTACTGTATAGGTTACTGTACCTGTAAGACTATCCCACAAAAGGAGGTGCTTATTTTAATACAGTGTATGCAATTCAGTTAGTCAAAATGCTTTTACCAGCTTCTAAAGATCCAGACCACCTATCCACCATCTTGTCAATCATGACCTCGAACATCTCTCCTTCATGAAGTTGACGGTTGCTGATGACAATGGCATCATTGAACTCTCCATGGGCATTAGGTCTCTGGGCAGTTAAACCCCCATTTAATATTCTTGCATTCTTGCCATGGAGATGATGAAATCTCAAGTCACTGAAAAATAAATTTCACATTTTAACCATCAGCTTCACAATGTTCCAACAGATTTGAAAACCTAGATCTCTGTGACATTAGTGTCAAAAATCCCAGCATAGTGATCAAAATATTGAAGGTCTGCTGCTTCTTCTGTAACTACCTGACTCAGCTCTAAGAGATTTATAGTTATATTTAGTTAATATTTCATGATAGGAGTGAATGGAAACGAATGGTTTTTGGGACCTGACGAGCTGCTGGAGTGAGCAGGGTAATATTTTGTGAAGGGATTCAGGGAAACCAGTTAGCCTGGAAATGGGAAGTACAATGCCTACAGTTTGGCAGTTTGGAGGGACATCTAGATTGTCCTATCTGAGCACCTCTGCAAAGACAGTGATTATGTATGAGTGATGGTGAAAGTGTTGAATGATGATGAAAGCTTTTTCTTTCTTTTTGGGTCACCTTGCCTAGGTGGGAAACAGTGGACAAGTAAAAAAAAAAATTCATAATAATCTGTACCTTAACTTTATTTAATAGCAATCCCAATAATATACTGAGGTGATAAAAGACAATTTCTTCTAACTGAAGATTATTTAAGCTTTAACCTCAACTGAAGATGCCAATGGATAGCTACTAAGAATTTGGGAAACAAGAGCATTTAATGTTTCCTTGCATTAATTAGCACTCTACTTCCAACCTCCAGGACACAAGTCCAGCTAACCAGTCTCTCTGAATCCCTTCATAAATGTTACTGTGCTCACACTCCAACAGCCCATTAAGTCATAAAAAACCACTTGCCTCCACCCCTAACTCACTCACACATGCTTGCTGGACGTCTAAGCCCCTTGCACACAAAACCTCCTTTACCTCCTCCCTCCAAGCTTTCCTAGGATGATCCCTTATCCCACCTTCTCTCCACTACGTATTTAAATGCCTTCCAAGCCATCCTATTTTGTTCCATCCTCTCTATATGTTTGAGAAACCTCAACAACCCCTCTTTAACCTTCTGGATAATACTTTTAGTAACCCTGCACCTTCTCTTAATCTCCAAGCTAAGAATTCTCTGCATTATATTCATACCACATATAGCCCTCAGACATGACATCTCCCTCCCTCCAGGCTCCTCCTTGCTGCAACATTCACAACCCATGCTTCACACCCATATAAGAGTATTGGTGCCACCATACCCTCATACATTCCCTTTGTATATAAAATACTAAGCATCCATTAAGCAACTGCAAAATATATTGTTACATACCTGTATATTGTTGAGCTGGAGACACTGGAGGGTAAGACTTCTGATGAACAATGATCAGAATGTTGAACTATGGTAGCTTGTGCTGCCTGCCCATACAGGTCCACTACTCCAAAAACATGTTCTGGTACATTGTTAGCTGCCAGACCTTGTTCAACACCATTGACAAAAAAGTACAGAGAACCATTGTCTTTTCGGAGGACACCAACACGGTCTCCAACCTGGAGGATGGTTAATATGCTCAACAAATTATAACAATATTGGCCACAATGTTTCCTAGTATCTAAATATGTAAGAAGCATTTAACATATCTACTGCAATAAAACCATATAGAATAGTTCACCAAAAACCCGCACTTGGGAGAGAAACAGTATGATGATATTTTGGTCTATTCTGGGCCACTTTTAAATCACAAGAAAGAGTAAGACACAGGAAAGGCCAGACGACAGAATGTGGGGAAGGGAAGAGGAAGAGAAGCATGAGTGTGTGTTGGCAGTGGCAGCAGCAGCTGTGCAGCCATAAGCCTAACACATGAGAAGGGAAGGGAAATGGGGCAAGTGGAGAGAGGCATGCAGAGGCGTTGCCCTCGATTTAGTAGGTCTGTCTGAAATGCTGCCACACTTCCAACCTAAACTTTCATTAGTTGGAACCCATTAATAATCTAGAACATAGTCTTGGATTGTAGTTTAGACAGCTAGGTTAGGCCAGGTATATGGGTTTAAGAAACTTGAGTACTAACACTGTCACAGATCTATAGGTCCACAATTTAGCAATATCAGTGCCAGAAGGCCAAGCATGGAATCCCAGGGCACCTGGCCAGTCACACGATGACATCACTATGGGTCAGCCACGTGGGAATAAAGGTGTGTAATAATTTTGATATGTATTAGTTATTTTTATTTTTATTAGTTATTTAGTTATTTTATTAGTTATTTTATATAGCCGGACTTGAGTCCTGGAAATGGGAAGTACAATGCCTGCACTTTAAAGGAGGGGTTTGGGATATTGGCAGTTTGGAGGGATATGTTGTGTATCTTTATACGTATATACTTCTAAACTGTTGTATTCTGAGCACCTCTGCAAAAACAGTGATTATGTGTGAGTGAGGTGAAAGTGTTGAATGATGATGAAAGTATTTTCTTTTTGGGGATTTTCTTTCTTTTTGGGTCACCCTGCCTTGGTGGGAGCCGGCCGACTTGTTAAAAAAAAAAAATGTATTAGTTAAAGGACCCTAAGTTCTATACTTTACTATAGTGTAGATTAGCGACTCAATTGAGTGGGAGTAGTTAGAAATCACCTGCAAGGCACTGAGACGAAGGAATTTCTCTGACTCCCTAAATCTCTCCAGGTAAGCCAGTAAAGATAACTTATAAATCATGATTTGTGTAAGTCTGCAATACACAGGAATTTTTTGCTGATTTACATTTCAAGGCTGGAGTCATTTACAAACCCCACACACAGATTCTGACCAGTTGCGCATTGGTAGGAACTATACAGCCCTTTCATAAAAAGTGTGTCTAAGGTTAAGATATGTATGGGATGGCTGGTACTTAGCATGAATTTGATTGACAAGGTGATTAAGTAGCATTAGTCAGGCAAACCCCTTTTTTTGACAGCAGCAGCAGTGTGGTGGTAGTATAAGTAATGAGAAAGTAGTAGTGGAAATGGTAAAAGAAGTGGTAGAAGTAATTATAGAGATAGTAGTAGTAGTGAAAGAATTAGTAATAGTGGTAGAAGTGGTAATGTTAATGAACAAGAGAGCAAAGAAGCACTAAAGGGTTATGGCAAAACCCTCATGTGACAAAATCCAGGGACAAAACCCATCAAGGCAGAAGACAGGAAAGGCAAAAGAAAGATAATGCAGAAGACAAATGAAGTGGAAGGAGAGGCAGCAGCAAATTTAAATAATTTTAGCAGAGGACCAGTTAATACGTTGGCTGTGATCTCTGATATAACAGACAAGGATTTGCTGGTTTGTTGGTATTGCCATGGTGAACACATCTTTAGTGCCTCTGAATCTACAGAAAGGGAGCGGTCAGTTCTACTAAAGTACTGAAGAGGATAGGAAGAGCAGGAAACAGGACAGAAGTATGAACAAGATTAGTGGGAAGAGTATTAGTCTGATGAACAGTAGGTTTGACAGCTAGAGGACAAAGGGTGTTGTTAAATGTTTTCTAAGAAGATTTTATTGGATATTTTTTGGTATCACTTGAGAGAATGTTTGATATACTACTAAAATAGAGATAATTTTGGTTGGTTTCAGGACCAGAAGTAGCTTGAAACTGGGCTCAAATAAGTGGAAATATTTTATTTTTGCCAATTTTCCTGCAGACAGGTAAGGCCCCCTACACTCCCTGGTCTATTTTAAGGGTTTGTAATAGATCTGATTGAATTATTAGGATGCCATAAACCATGACCAATCATTCCTGGCTAAATTTTATCATCTAAGAAATAGGGTAAAAAGGCAAGTGCTATATTGGAGAGACATGAGAGCATGATTAATGAATAGAGGAAATATTGTTTTAGAGCCTCGAATATCAACAGTATTTACTTTGGAGAAAAAGAGAGAGGTTAAGAGAGTGGTGAAGCAATGTGAAAAGAGAGCAAATGAGAGAGTGGGTGAGATGTTATCAACAAATTTTGTTGAAAATACGAAAAAGTTTTGGAGCGAGATTAACAAGTTAAGGAAGCCTAGAGAATAAATGGATTTGTCAGTTAAAAATAGGAGAGGCGAGTGATTAAATGGAGAGTTAGAGGTATTGGGAAGATGGAGGGAATATTTTGAGGAATTGTTGAATGTTGATGAAGATAGGGAAGCTGTGATTTCGTGTATAGGGCAAGGAGGAATAACATCTTGTAGGAGTGAGGAAGAGCCAGTTGTGAGTGTGGGGGAAGTTCGTGAGGAAGTAGGTAAAATGAAAGGGGGTAAGGTAGCTGGGATTGATGGGATAAAGAGAGAAATGTTAAAAGCAGGTGGGGATATAGTTTTGGAGTGGTTGGTGCTATTATTTAATAAATGTATGGAAGAGGGTAAGGTACCTAGGGATTGGCAGAGAGCATGCATAGTTCCTTTGTATAAGGCAAAGGGGACAAAAGAGAGTGCAAAAATTATAGGGGGATAAGTCTGTTGAGTTCTAGGTAGTAGGTTGGTAGACAGCAACCGCCCAGGGAGGAACTACCGTCCTGCCAAGTGAGTGTAAAACTGAAGCCTGTAATTTTTTTACACGATGGTAGGATTGTCTTTTTTTTTTTTTCTGTCTCATACACACGCAAGATTTCAGGTATGTCTTGCTACTTCTACTTACACTTAGGTCACACTACACATACATGTACAAGCATATATATATACACACACCCCTTTGGGTTTTCTTCTATTTTCTTTCTAGTTCTTGTTCTTGCTTATTTCCTCTTACCTCCATGGGGAAGTGGAACAGAATTCTTCCTCTGTAAGCCATGCGTGTTGCAAGAGGCGACTAAAATGCCGGGAGCAAGGGGCTAGTAACCCCTTCTCCTGTATATATTACTATATTTAAAAGGAGAAACTTTCGTTTTTCCTTTTGGGCCACCCCGCCTCAGTGGGATACGGCCGGTGTGTTGAAAGAAAGAAAGAAGTCTGTTGAGTATACCTGGTAAAGTGTATGGTAGAGTTATTATTGAAAGAATTAAAAGTAAGATGGAGAATAAGATAGCGGATGAACAAAGAGGCTTTACGAAAGGTAGGGGGTGTGTGGACCAGGTGTTTACAGTGAAACATATAAGTGAACAGTATTTAGATAAGGGTAAAGAGGTTTTTGTGGCATTTATGGATTTGAAAAAGGCATATGACAGGGTGGACAGGGGGGCAATGTGGCAGATGTTGCAGATGTATGGTATAGGAGGTAGATTACTGAAAGCAGTGAAGAGTTTTTACGAGGATAGTGAGGCTCAAGTTAGAGTATGTAGGAAAGAGGGAGATTATTTCCCAGTAAAAGTAGGCCTAAGACAAGGATGTATGATGTCACCATGGTTGTTCAATATATTTATAGATGGGGTTGTAAGAGAAGTAAATGCGAGGGTCTTGGCAAGAGGTTTGGAGTTAAAAGATAAAGAATCACACAAAGTGGGAGTTGTCACAATTGCTCTTTGCTGATGACACTGTGCTCTTGGGTGATTCTGAAGAGAAGTTGCAGAGGTTGGTGGATGAATTTGGTAGGGTATGTAAAAGAAGAAAATTGAAAGTGAATATAGGAAAGAGTAAGGTTATGAGGATAGCAAAAAGATTAGGTGATGAAAGATTGGATATCAGATTGGAGGGAGAGAGTATGGAGGAGGTGAATGTATTCAGTTATTTGGGAGTGGACGTGTCAGCGGATGGGTCTATGAAAGATGAGGTGAATCATAGAATTGATGAGGGGAAAAGGGTGAGTAGTGCACTTAGGAGTCTGTGGAGACAAAGAACTTTGTCCTTGGAAGCAAAGAGGGGAATGTATGAGAGTATAATTTTACCAACGCTCCTGTATGGGTGTGAAGCATGGGTGATGAATGTTGCAGCGAGGAGAAGGCTGTAGGCAGTGGAGATGTCATGTCTGAGGGCAATGTGTGGTGTTAATATAATGCAGAGAATTCGTAGTTTGGAAATTAGGAGGAGGTGCGGGACTGCCAAAACTGTTGTCCAGAGGGTGAGGAAGGGTTGTTGAGGTGGTTCGGACATGTAGAGAGAATGGAGCGAAACAGAATGACTTCAAGAGTGTATCAGTCTGTAGTGGAAGGAAGGCGGGGTAGGGGTCGGCCTAGGAAAGGTTGGAGGGAGGGGGTAAAGGAGGTTTTGTGTGCGAGGGGCTTGGACTTCCAGCGGGCATGCATGAGCGTGTTTGATAGGAGTAAATGGAGACAAATGGTTTTTAATACTTGACGTGCTATTGGAGTGTGAGCAAAGTACATTTATGAAGGGATTCAGGGAAATCGGCAGGCCGGACTTGAGTCCTGGAGATGGGAAGTACAGTGCCTGCACTCTGAAGGAGGGGTGTTAATGTTGCAGCTTAAAAACTGTAGTGTAAAGCACCCTTCTGGCAAGACTGATGGAGTAAATGATGGTGAAAGTTTTTCTTTTTCAGGCCACCCTGCCTTGGTGGGAATCGGCCAGCGTGTTAATAAAAAAATATATTTACTTCGGACTTAATTTCTGAAATTCCATTCCTTTCTCCATTGAGAAACAAGGCAACAACATTAAAGAAGACAGATAAAAAAGACGAAGATGTTAGAAGTCATAACATATACATTTACCTTAAGCCTGTCCAGGTTCAATCCATAATCATCAATAATTGTAGTGCCATTATGCATGACTCCATTGCCAGTCATCATCCATGTGCCTGATCTGAAATTAGAAATACACCTTCAATAATACAGGCAATTTGTCACAGGATGCATCTACTCACACCACATGACAGAATAGTTTCCAAAAAAAAAAAAAAAAAAAAAAAAAAAAAAAAAAAAAAAAAAAAAAAAAAAAAAAAAAAAAAAAAAAATCCATAATGTGAATGTCAAATAATCAAAGACAATTAGCTGATAAAGAAAATAGTTTAATATTGCAATTATAATAAAAAATTAAGATTTCTCAAGTAATCAAAATGCAAATCTAATTATTTATTATTAACACACTGGCTGATTCCCACCAAGGCAGGGTGGCCCGAAAAAGAAAAACTTTCACCATCATTCACTCCATCACTGTCTTGCCAGAAGGGTGCTTTACACTACAGTTTTTAAACTGCAACATTAACACCCCTCCTTCAGAGTGCAGGCACTGTACTTCCCATCTCCAGGACTCAAGTCCAGCCTGCCGGTTTCCCTGAATCCCTTCATAAATGTTACTTTGCTCACACTCCAACAGCACGTCAAGTATTATTGGAGTGTGAGCAAAGTAACATTTATGAAGGGATTCAGGGAAACCGGCAGGCCAGACTTGAGTCCTGGAGATGGGAAGTACAGTGCCTGCACTCAGAAGGAGGGGTGTTAATGTTGCAGTTTAAAAACTGTAGTGTAAAGCACCCTTCTGGCAAGACAGTGATGGAGTGAATGATGGTGAAAGTTTTTCTTTTTCGGGCCACCCTGCCTTGGTGGGAGTCGGCCAGTGTGTTAATAATAAATAATTAATAATAAATAATAAGCGTGTATGCACCTGGAGAAGAGAGGAATGCAGAGGAGAGAGAGAGATTTTGGGAGATGTTAAGTGAATGTATAGGAGCCTTTGAACCAAGTGAGAGAGTAATTGTGGTAGGGGACTTGAATGCTAAAGTAGGAGAAACTTTTAGAGAGGGTGTGGTAGGTAAGTTTGGGGTGCCAGGTGTAAATGATAATGGGAGCCCTTTGATTGAACTTTGTAAAGAAAGGGGTTTAGTTATAGGTAATACATATTTTAAGAAAAAGAGGATAAATAAGTATACAAGATATGATGTAGGGCAAAATGACAGTAGTTTGTTGAAAAAAGCATATTTAAAAAAAAAAATGCAAACCTTTTTCAAAAACTTATTACTGCCCAAAGGGAAACAAATGCATTGCTTTCCACGGTACCGGGAAAACTAACCACCGTATAAGTGGGGCTGTACTGCGTATGGCAACCCCTAGCGGGTACTGCACTGCAAAAAAGCTTTTTTGGCATCCCGCTGATAGAACACGCTATCTGAATTTATCCAGTTAAAATTATGTAATTTGGAATAACTTATCTGAAAAATTGGAAAAAAAACGGCACCAAAAAAAAAAAAAAAAAAATCCAAGAAAATAACCCCTCTGGTTTTTTTGGTTATTCAGTTCTTTACACATATGCGCTATTTTTGAAAATTTATGAACTGTATTGTGTAAAAACGAATAAACTTATTAAACAATGATTTCTTAACCAGAGTGTTCCCAAAGTGTTAAGCTATTTTTCTTTTAAATTGCTAATGTTCTTTTTTTTAAAATTTTTTTTTTCCATTAAAAACAAAACCCCCCCCTTTAAAAGGTAAGAAACAAGAATTTTTTCAGTATACCAAAACAGTTACCCAATTATAAATAGCATAATTGTAAAAACCTTGGAAAACCAAAAAATCAGAAGCGACTTTTTCCACTGGGGTCCTTTCCCGCCCCTTGACCCCCTTAAGCACAGAAAAAATAATCAAAGTTTAAAAAAACCCTTTAATTATACAAATAAGCACATTTTAAATAAAAAAAATTTTAAATAACAGGAAAAAACATACCGCAAAAACCCAAGAAACAAATTGAATTAAAAAACCTCGAATACAAACAAGGGTTTAGGGAATAAAGAATGTCTGCCCAAGACCGACCAAGGGGGGGTCTTTGCTAGGTGTCACAAACAGGGGAAAGGGGGGAAATTTGGCCGGCAAAAAAAAAAAAAAGGGGCCTGGAAATGAAATTGCCGCGACTGGTTTTTTGGGCCCCTTGTTTTCGGACCCAATTGTTCATGTTCAAAGTTTCGTGAACGAGGTTCCACACCAACAATATAAGTAAATTTTTTGGGAAACACATTAATGCATAAGTAAAGGCCCCTTTTTAAAAGGTTACTGTACCTGTAAGATATCCCCCAAAAGGAGGTGCTTATTTTAATACAGTGATGAAATTCAGTTAGTCAAAATTTTTTTAACCCAGTTCTAAAGACCCAACCCCCTATCCACCACTTGAAATCATGCCCCTCGAACATCTCTCCTTCCTGAAGTTGGGGTTTTGCGATGACAAGGGATCATTGAACCTCCATGGGCATTAGGCTCTGGCTTAAAAACCCCCCTTTAATTTCTTGTTTCTTCCCATGGAGATAAGAAATCTCAATCCTGAAAAAAAAATTTTTCACATTTTTAACAATCCTTCACAATGCCCCACAATTTGAAAACCAGATCTCTGTGACTTTATGTCAAAAATCCCAGCATGTGATCAAAAATTGAAGGTCTGCTGCTTTTCTGTAACTACCTACTCGCTCTAAAATTTATAGTTTTATTTATTAATATTTCATGATAGGAGTGAATGGAAACGAATGGTTTTTTGGGACCTGGACTGCTGGGTGAGCAGGGAAATTTTGTAAGGGATTCAGGAAACCCATTACCCGGAAAGGGGAAAAAAATGCCTACTTTTTGGCATTTGGGGGGCATTAAATTGTCCTTTTGAGCACCCTCAAAGACAGTGTTTATTATGAGTGGGGGAAAGTGTTAAATATTTGAAAGCTTTTTCTTTTTTTTTGGGTCACCTTGCCTAGGTGGGAAACGGGCAAGAAAAAAAAAAAATTTTTCAAAAAAATTGTCCCTTTAACTTTATTTAATAAAATCCCAATAATATACGGGGGTGAAAAAAGAAAATTTCTTCTAATAAAGATTTTTTAAGCTTTAACCTCAAGAAGATGCCAATGGATAACTAAGAATTTGGGAAAAAAACTTTTAAATTTTTCCCTTTGCTTTAAATTAGCACTCTACTTAAACCTCCAGGACACAATCCGTAACCGTCTCTCTAAAATCCCCTAATTTTACTGTGTCACCCCCAAACAGCCCCATTAAAATTTTTCAAAAAAAAAACCATTTGCCTCCACCCCTAACCACTACAAGTTTCCCGGACGTCTAACCCCCTTGCCCAAAAACCTCCTTTATCCTCCCCCAAGTTTCCCCTAGGAGATCCTTATCCCCCCCTTCTCTCCATACAAAATTTAAAATGCCCCCAAGCCCCTATTTTTCCCCACCCCTTTCCTATATTTTTTGAGAAACCTCAACCCCCCCTTTTAAAACCTTTGGATAATATTTTTAGAAACCCTGCCCCTTCTTTTAAATTTCCCAAAGCTAAAAACTCTGCTTTAATTCTTCCCCCAATACCCTCAGAATGACATTCCCCCCCCCTCCAGGTCCCCCTTTGCTGCAACATTCAAACCCCTTGCTTCACACCCATATAAAGTAGGGTGCCACCCCCTCAAACACCCCCTTTGTATAAAAATACAAGCACCCATTAAGCAACTGAAAAAATTTTTGTTACATATGTTTATTGGGGCGGGACATGGGGGAAAGACTTCTATGAAAAAAGATCGAAAGTTAAAACAAAGGTAGTTGGCGCCTCCCCCATCGGGGTCCACTACTCCAAAAAACATGTTTGGTACATTGTTAGCTGCCAGACCTTGTTCAAAAATTTGAAAAAAAAAGTACAAGAAATTGTTTTTTTTCGGGGGCCCCCAACAGGGTTTCCCCAAACCCTGGAGGGGTTAAATGCTCAAAAAAATTATAAAAATTGGCCACAATTTTTCCTAGTATCTAAAATGTAAAAAGCATTTAAATATCTACTGCAAAAAAACCCAATAAATAGTTCCCCAAAAAACCCGATTGGGGAAGAAACAGTATGAGATATTTTGGTCTATTCTGGCCACTTTTAAATACAAAAAAGAGTAAGACCAGGAAAGGCCAACAACGAATGTGGGGAAGGGAAGAGAAGAAAGCATGGGGGTGTGTGGCGGGGCAAGCAGCTGTGAGCCTAACCCTAACACAGAAAGGGGAAGGGAAAGGGCAAGTGGAAGGGGCATGCAGAGGCTTGCCCTCTTTTGAGGTCTGTCGAAATGCTGCCACATTTCCAACCAAAACTTTCATTAGTTGGAACCATTAATAATCTAGAACATAGTCTTGGAAATTGTAGTTTAACAGCTAGGTTAGGCCGGGGTATAGGGGGTTTTAAAAAAACTTGAGAACTAACCGAAAGACATAGGCCACAATTTAAAATACAGGCAGAAGGGCCCCAAGCATGGAATCCCAGGGCACCTGCATCACACGATGACTCACTATGGGCAGCCACGGGGGAAAAAAAAGGTTGTTAAAAAATTTTGATATGTTTTATTTATTTTTATTTTTATTATTTTATTTAGTTTTTTATATTTATTTTATAACCCGGGACTTGAGTCTTTGGAAGGGGAAGTACAATGCCCTGCATTTAAAGGGGGGGTTTTGGGGATATTGGCATTTTGGGAGGGTTTTTGGGTATCTTTAACGTAAACTTCTAAACGTTGTTTCTAGACCCTGAAAAAACAGTGATTATGTGTATGAGGGAAAAGTGTTTAAAAGATGAAAGTATTTTCTTTTTGGGGATTTTTTTTCTTTTTGGGTACCCTCCCTTTGGGGGACCCGGGCCCCCGACTTTTTAAAAAAAAAAAAATTATTTTTAAAGGACCCAAAGTTCTATACTTTAATGTTAGATTAGGCTCAATTGATGGGATAGTTAGAATCCCGAAAGGCACGGGAAAAAAAAAAAAGGAATTTCTCGATCCTAAATCCCCAGGTAACCTAAAGATAATTATAAATCTGATTTGTGTAAGTCGGAAAATACACGGGAAATTTTTGCTGTTTTTAATTTAAAGCTGGAGTAAATTTA